CATTTACATTTAGGGTTAATATTGTTATGTGTGAATTTGATACTGCCATTTTGGTGCTAGCTGGGTGGTTTGCCCTTTAGTTGAGCTGGTACTTGTTGTTCCTTTATATGTGTAGAGCCTCTTTCAGGAGCTCTTGTAGAGCTGGCCTGGTGGTGACGAAATCTCTGAGTACTTGCATGTTCCCAAAGGATTTTATTTTTCCTTCACTTATGAAGCTTAGTTTGGCTGGATAGGAGATTCTGGGTTGAAAGTTCTTTTCTTTAAGGATGTTGAATATTGGCCCCCATTCTCTTCTGGCTTGTAGGGTTTCTGCTGAGAGATCTGCTGTGAGTCTGATGGGCTTCCCTTTATGGTTAACCCGACCTTTCTCTCTGGCTGCCCTTAGTATTTTCTCCTTCATTTCGACCCTGGTGAATCTGACGATTATGTGCCTTGGGGTTGCTCTTCTTGACCAATATCTTTGTGGTGTTCTCTGTCTTTCCTGGACTTGAATGTTTGCCTGCCTTGCTACGTTGGGGAAGTTTTCCTGGATAATATCCTGAAGAGTATTTTCCAGCTTGGATTCATTCTCTTCGTCGCATTCGGGTACGCCTATCAAACGTAGATTAGGTCTTTTCACATAGTCCCACATTTCTTGGATACTTTGTTCATTCCTTTTTACCCTTTTTTCTCCAGTCTTGCCTTCCCGTTTTATTTCATTGAGTTGATCTTCGACCTCTGATATCCTTTCTTCTGCTTGGTCCGTTCGGCTGTTGATACTTGTGCATGCTTCACGAAGTTCTCGTGTTGCGTTTTTCAGCTCCATCAATTCACTTATATTCCTTTCTATTTTGTCCATTCTTGTTAGCATTTCGTCAAATCTTTTTTCAAGGTTCTTAGTTTCTTGGGATTTGGTTAGAACATGTTCTTTAAGTTCACAGAAGTTTCTTACTACCCACCTTCTGAAGTCTGATTCTGTCATTTCATCACACTCGTTCTCCCTCCAACTTTGTTCCCTTGCTGGTGAGGAGTTGTGATCCCTTTTAGGAGGAGAGGTGTTCTGGTTTCGGGTGTTTTCATCCTTTTTGCGCTGGTTTCTTCCCATCTTTAAGGATTTATCCACCTGTCGACTTTGTAGTTGCTGGCTTTCAGATTGGGTCTCAAATCTTTCAGATTGACGTTCTGTTTGTTGATGATGAGGTTATTTCTGTTTCTTGGTTTTCCTTCTGACAGTCTGGCCCCCCTGCTGTAGGTCTGCTGAGGTTCACTCCAGGCCCTGCTTGCCTGGGGTTCACCTGCAGCAGCTGTTGAACAGTAAAGGTTGTTACCAGTTTTCTTCTTCTGCTATCTTTGTCCCAGAAGGATACCCGCCTAGTGTCAATCTGATCTCTCTTTTATGAGGTGTCTTTTTGGATATATAGGGGTCAGGGAGCTGCTTGAGGAGACGGTCTCTTCTTTATAGGAGCTCAAATGGTGAGCTGCGAGCTCTGTTGTTGTTCATTCAGAGCTGCTGGGCAGGTACTTTTAGGTCTGCTGTAGCAGAACTCATAAACTGCTTTTTGTTCCCAGGTGCTCTGTCCCAGGGATTTAGGGCTTTATTTATGAGTTTCCGTTATGCTGCCGCCTTCTTTTTTTTTTTTTTTTTTTTTTTCTTCAGACCTGCCCAGCCCAGCAAGGAGGCAGCGTAGTCACTGTCGCCCTATAGCAGCTTTGCTGAGCTGCTGTGGGCTCCGCCCCGCTGCCGAGTGAACTTCCCTGCAGTCCTGTTTATATGGGTGTAGTTAGAACTGCTTTGGCGATGGTGGCCCGCCTCTGTTGGGGTGGAGTCTCTGCTGTGGCGGGTTGCCTTGGCAACGGTGGGCTGCCTCAGCAATGGCGGGTTGCCTTGGCAACGGCGGGCTGCCTCGGTAATGGCGGACGCCCCTCCCCCACAGAGCTGGACCATCCCGGGTTCAGCTGCGCTTGCTGTGAAACTCTCAATCCAGATTTTCTGGTTGCTGTTCTTTTGTGGGGGTGGGACCAGCCGAGCCTGATCGCCTGGCTCCCTGCCTCAGAGCCTTTTTTAAGTTGGTGTTCCAGTCGCCTGTTGAAGAGGCGCCGGGGTCTGTTTGTTTCCCCTGCGGCCACTCACTGCGCTGGCTTAAACAGCGGCACTGAGGTTTGTGGTGCTTTTTTTTTCTTTTTTTTTGCCCTGGAATCTACTGTCCTGGTTCTCTGCTCAGTCCCCTTTTTGAACCAGCGTATGGGCGACTTCCCGTGGCTCCAATCGCCAGCCTAAAGGGCCCCCAGACCAGTGTATTTTGTACGGAGAACCGCGGCTCCGGGGCGCCGACAAAGCAGCCGCGCGGGGCAAAGCAGCCGCGCTGGCTGAAACAGCCGCGCTGGCGACCGTGGAGCACCTCTGCCCGGGAATTTCCTAGTCTGTGGGCAATAAAAACGTTGCGTCCACTCACCCTCTGCGCTTTCACTGGGAGCTGCAATCCTGAGCTGTTCCTAAACGGCCATCTTGGATCGTCCCCCCATATTTTCATTTTTTCTATTGTAAGCAACCAATAGCTGAATGTTCTTTTTTCATCCATTAGGAAGCGTTTGTCTTTTTTGGAAAAATTCAATTATTCACATTTTCTGTGGTTGACATTGTCTTTTCTCCTCCCTTCTTTCCTTCCTTTTTGCTTTCCACATCTTATGCCTATTGCTTCCTTTTAGTTATTTCCCATTTTTACAGTACCAGGATTATTTTAACATAAATTCCACATAATATACACTTTAAAGTTTGGGAAGTTCTGGCCCCAAAAATATGGTTCCTGGTGGCGTTATCACTTAAGAAATTGTTAGATATGGAAATTGTGGAACTCACTACAGACCTACTGAATCAGAAACTCTGAGGTGGGGCCCAACTATTTGTGTTTTAATAAGCCCTTCTGGTGATTCTAATGCATGCTCAAGTTTAAGAACGACTGATCTAAAGGATTCTCTAGAAGGTGGCTATGGATTTTCTGATAGCATGTTCAGGTGGACAACAAGTCAAATTGTTGCCCCATATTCACCTTTATCAAGGAATTAGGAAAAAAATGTTGCTATGGAAACTGAACACTGTAGATTTTCCTGCTAATGCTACCTGATTTTATCCTCATACTTTGGATGCTGTAACTTTTGGTAGAGGCCGTATCCTGTTTCTTTTTCTGGTCTATAGTGGGTTCAATTCTGTCCCATAAAAATTTAGATTTCTTCAAGTTCTAATTTCTAGTGCTTATAAATGTAACCTTATTTGGAAATAGGCTCTTCTTAGATGTAATCAGGTTAAGAAGATGTCATATTAGAGTGGGCCCTATACCAATGAATGTATGAATGTTGGTATCCTTACATGAAGAACAGAGGGCACAAAGATACACAGAGAAGAAGGCCATGCAACCATACAGGCAGGGATAGGAGGGATGCTGCTACAAACCAAGAAACATGAAGGGTTTCTGGGAGCCACCAAATGCTAGAAGGAGGCAGGGAAGAATTCTTCCCTTGGGTCTTCAGAAGAAGGATAGCCCTGCCACACACCTTGATTTTTTTTTACTTCTATCTCTGTAACTCAGAATAAATTTATATTGTGTTAGGTCACCAAGTTTTCAGTGTTTCGTTATGACAGCCCTAAAAAACAAATATAGGCCCTAATATCCATGCAAAATCTGCCTCCCCATTTCTCATTTAACCAAAGTCAAACAGGATGCTGGGCAAAATTCTAGTTATAGTACATTATGTCCAGGTAAGTCACCAAAAACAAGGCCATCCGGCTATCTCCTGAAGATACTTCTCTAAAATGGCAGAGATCATTTCCCCATCTCCAATGAAAACATGTTTCCTTTCCCCATTGCTGAGACCTTCTTGATTGCTTCCATTTATTCCTTGCTTCCTCCACAAATACTCCCCCACCTATGTCCCAATTCCCTGACTGCCAACTCTTCCCTATTCTCTTTAGAAATGAAAACCTTGAAGCCTCTGGCACAGCCATGATTTTGTTGACCCTTGTGTAGGATGCAGGTGGGAGTGAGGGTGTTTACAGAATGTCAGCTTGACCCTGGATGGTAGCTTGCCTTTCTTTCATGAGGACTCTAAATATTTTTATTTAAAAAATTAAAGCATCTCACATCCTTGAGTTAACCTCTGTCAGCATTTCCATAGCTTCTTGAAATTAATTATGGTAAAGACAGTTACCTGTTTCTCTTCCCAACTTCATATAACATGAAAAACACTCATTATTTTTTGTCATTTTCTTGTCTATAAATGGGATGAAGATAGCTTATCTTGTCACAATACTCATTTATGATAATAAAAATATATAGATTCAGTGAAGGACATTTTAAGTATGTAAAAGTGAAAAGCAGAAAAACGATTTACTCATAATCTCTCTTACCTTGAAGTAAACAGTGTTGTGCCCATGGTATACGTTATTTAGACCCTTCAAAAACATTGATGCCTGTATAATATTGTCTTACCTAGATGGCTATACCATACTTTATATCACTGAGAAAATAAAAGCTATCATATGGGAGTAAGACTTTAAACTTGTTTCCTGCTTGCAACTTAATCACTGACTCTTGTCCTATTTCTTTTTTTGTTTTGCATCAAAGGGGATGTAGGAGTTATAAACTTCTTCCAAGTTTTACCTATATTGATCTTCCAAACATAGTATTTTTTCCCGTAAACTCAGGGTACTTCTTAATCACTTGTAGCCTTTCAAGTTTCCCATAATTTCCTCATCAGTCATGGTTCTCTAAAGAGCTTTGTTATTATTTTGTACATGAGTTTGACATTTCTTTTTTTTAAATATAGAAAACCTAGGTTTATTTGTTATTATAAAAACAAAACAATTACCATTTGAAGCACTTTGAGGACATCATCCCAGATTCACTTGTTCTGTTACAGAAACTAATCTAAAAGGTTGGAAATTAAAGGATATAACCTAAGAGGTTATAACTGCAGGCTGGTAATGTATGGCAAAAGGAGCTCTCTCTTTGCCATTCAGTCTACCTACGCCTCCGAGCTCCTGTGCCTTTTCACCACATAGGTCTGTTAGCTTACAGAAGATGCATACAGTGAAGGCAGGAATTATAGGCCTACTCAGAGAGTATTCAGGCATAGAAAGTTTTGGGTAAATAATAAACTACAAATACCTTCTTGGTTAAGTTAATTCATCAAGTTAATAGAGGCCATAGTATCTGTCTTCTGCTGGTGACAACTTGTTGTCTCAGTATAGTCTGCCTCAAAAAGAACTGATTCAACTTGGGTTTTGGAAAAGGAAAAAGACTTTCATCAACTTCACTCCAGAGTGGAAGAAGTACCAAGTTGTCTCCTACAGTTAGGAGCGGAATCTTAAACTTGCATAAATTGTTTTCAGTGATCAACATCTGTATCCTCAACCTGTCCAGCAACTGTTGGCATGGTATCCCCTTCATCCCATCTTCATAATCTCTTATGAAATCATCTGTCCAAACCCCAGCTATATTATACTGGCTGCTCATAGAGTGAGAAAGCATTTCTTCTAATCTTTCCAGTGTAGCTTGGTCTTCTGCTGTTAGATGGGATAATCCTCCTTCATAGGTGTAAAATGTTGGGATGTCATCTTGTCCTTATTCATGTGCTTCCACATCATATTCTCCATTGTAGTTATTTGAATCCTCATCCTCAGGACCTGGATGCAAGTCCTGGTATTCACACATTGCAGTGAACACTGCTTCCAATGCTGATTACTAGGTACAAATCTAAATTCAGTAATAGGTTTGACATCATCATCACTGTCTTCCTCTTCTTCATCAGAAACAGATTCTTAGGACTTTTCAAGTTTGTTATTCACCATAACATACAAATGCTCTCTTAATCACTTTGGTCTTTGGCAATGCATGTAAAATAATGGTGGGATATTTCAGTGGCAATCCTAATCCAGAGCCATCTAACCAAGACAGGTGGCTCTCAGTGATGTAAAGGGTGCCAGTGCCGAGGCCCTTCCACTTCGGCACATCTTGGGTATCTGGCTGCTGCTGCCGCAGGTGCCCCTCCTCTGACCCAGGTGGTGGAAAACTTTTTTAGTAGTTATTTTTCAGTGTAACACAATGTTACCATAACACCACTAAAACTCCAACTCACGTCAACAGAAATCTCATTATAGGAAAATCCAGTGGTTACTTTTATAACTTATCTGGTTTTATTTTACTGCAGCATTTGAAAGAGTTTACTATGACCTTTGTCTTCAAATATTTTTCCCCCTTGGCTTAAATGGACAGCTGTCTCAAAGTATTCCCATGACCTTTGTGTTGTCCTCTCCAATCTAGACCCTCCATTTTCTTTGCTGACTTTTGTGTATTGGTATTTGTAAGGCTTCAGTTGTGCATATTTGTTTAGTTTCACTTGACATATTATCTTAATTTCTATGAAATATGTTAATATTACATCTAACTTAAGTCTTTTCATTTGTAATACGGTTAATTAAAACAATTCTCATCAGTCTTTCTTCTTCTAGTCTTATCTTCCTCCAATTAATTGTCTGTATTGCTGTACGAGTAATTATATGTTAGACAACCAAATTACTCCCATGCTTAAAAATTTTTAATGGACTGTATGCTCTCTCTAGGATAAAATTCAAATGCCTTCATGGATCTCTCTCTCTAGCCTTTACCTTTCATCTTCATCTGGTCCCCAATTGAACTCATTAACCATGCACCATAATGCCTAGGGCATCCTTTTAAGGACTTATTTTTCCTCAAAAGGTCCCGATAATCTGTCAGGGATCTGATGAAATCTTATATAACCCTATTTCTACATCCAAAGTATAGGTTAGCTATTTCTTCAATGAGTTCATGTGGCTACCCATTCATAATCATCATAACATTTTATGTACCATATTAGTTGACAATTTACAACTCTATATTGCCGACCAGACTGTAAATTACACTTCCCAGCCTCTGGTAACCATCATTCTACCTTCTGTCTCCATAAGCTCCATGGTTCAAATTTTTACCTCCCACAAGTAAGTGAGAACATACAAAGTTTGTCTTTTTGTGCTGGGCTTTTGTCACTTGATGTAATGACCTCTAGTTGGATTTTTGTAAATGGCGAGAGATAGGGAACTAATTTCATTCTTCTCCATATGGATATCCAATTTTCCCAGCACAATTTATTGAAGAAACTATCCTTCCCCAACTGTATGTTTCTGGCAACTTTGTCAAAAATAAGTTCACTGTATAGGTATAGATTTGTTTCTGGTCTCTTTGCTCTGTTCCTTTGGTCTGTGTGCCTGTTTTTATGCCAGTGCCATGCTCTTTTGGTTACTATAGCTGTGTAGTATTTAAACTCAAATAGCGTGATTCCTCCAGTTTTGTTCTTTTTGCTCAAGATAGCTGTGACTATCCTGGGTCTTTTGTAATTCCATATAAATTTTAGGATTTTTTTTTCTATTTCTATGAAGAATGTCATTGTATTTTGACAGGGATTGAATTGAAATCTGTAGACTGCTTTGAGTAGTATGAAAATTTTGACAACATTGTTATTCCAATACCTGAACATGAAGTACCTTTCCATCGTACTGTGTCCTCTTCAGTTTCTTGTATCAATATTTTATAGTTTTGATTGGATCTTTCACTTCTTTGGTTAATTTTCAAGTATTTAACTTGCTTTGTAGCTATTGTAAATGAGATTACTTTTTAAATTTGTTTTTAGGATTATTTGCTTTCGGCCTATAAAAATGCTCTTGATTTTTCTATGTTGATTTTTGAATACTGCAACTTTACTGAATTTCTTTATCAGTTCTAATAGTTTTTTGTGAAATTTCTAGTTTTTTTTTTCCAAATATGAGATCATATTTGCAAACAAGGATAATTTGACTTCTTCCTTAACAATTTGAATGCCTTTTATTTCTCTTGTCTGCTTGCTGTAGCTAGAACTTTCAGTACTATGTTAGATAACAGTAGTGATAGTGGGCGTCCTTGTCATATTCCAATCTTCAAGGAAAGGTTTTCAGTGTTATGTTTTTTTGTTTTCTATTCATGATGATACTTACTGTGGATCTGTCATACATAGCTTTTATTAAGTTGAAGAATGTTTCTTGTATACCCATTTCTCAGAGTATTCATTGAGAGGGAATGTTAAACTTTATTATTTTTCGGCATCAATTGAAATGATTCTATAGCTTTTGTCCTTCATTCTGTTGATATATCACATTGATTGATTTGCATATGTTGAACCATCCGTGCATCCTTGGGTTAAATCCCAAAGATGTTGATGAATGATGTTTTTAATGTTTTGTTGAATTTTGTTTGCTGGTGTTTTGTGAAGATTTTTACGTTAATGTTCATTAGGGATTTCTGTCTTGTAGTTTTTTTTTCATTTGATTTATCTTTAGTTTTGGTATCAGGATAATACTCGCCCTGTAGAATGAGTTTGGAAGTACTCTCTTTTCCTCTATATTTTGGGATAGTTTGAGTGATATCGTCTTAGTTCTTTTTTAAATGTTTGGCAAAATTCATCAGTGAAGCCATTGGGTCCCAGACTTTTCTTTAGAGACTATTTCTTACAGCTTTGATCTCATTACTTGTTATTCGTCTGTTTAGGTTTATTATTTCTTCATGGTTCAATGTTGCTAGATGGTATATGTCTAGAAATGTATCCATTCCTCCTAGGTTTTCCAACTAATTGCCATAGAGTTGCTTGTGGTAGCCTCAAATGATCCTTTGAATTTTTATGGTATTGGGTATATTGTCTCCTTTTTCATTTTTGGTATCATTTGAGTCTATCTAAATGTTTGTCAAGTTTGTTTTATTCTTTGTCTAAATGTTTGTCAAATTTATCTTCTAAAATAGCATCTTTTTCTTTCATTAGTCTTTTGTATTGTTCATTCAAATTTATTTCTGCTCTAATCTTTACCATGTCTATTCTTCTAAATTTGGATTGAGTTTGTTCTTGCTTTCCTAGTTTTTTAAGATGCCTCATTACTGAGGCAGGAGAATTGCTTGAACCCAGCAGGCAGAGGTTGTAGTGAGCAGAGATCACGACACTGCACTCCAGCCTGGTGACATAGTGAGATGCTGTTTAGAAAAAAAGGCGTATTAGGTTGTTTATGTAAAGTGTACGTTCTTTTCAGATGTAGGTGCTTTTGACTGTAAACTACCCTCTCAGTACTGTTTTGCTGTATCCCATAGGTTTTGATATGTTGTGTTTCCATAATTAATTTCAAAGTATTTTTAAATTTCCTTAATTTTTCTCATTGACCCACTGATCGTTCAGGAGCATATTGTTTAACTTTCATGTGTTTGTACAGTTTCCAAAAATTCCTTGTTACTGATTTGTTGTTTTATTTCCTTGTCATCAGATTTAATTTCAATATTTTAAATGTTTAAGTCTTGTTTTGTGGCTTAACATGTGGTAGATCCTTGATAATGATTCATGTGCCGAGGAGAAAATTGTTTATTCTGCACGTGTTGGATAAAATGTCCTGTAAATATATATTAGATATGTGCCATATTCTTTTTTGTTCTGTTTTCTCCTCTGACTGTTTATTTTCAAATAGCCTGTCTTCAGGCTCACTAATTCTTTCTTATGCTTGATCGGTTCTGCTACTAAGAGACATTAATGCATTTTTAGTATGTCAATTATATTTTCAGCTCCATAATTTCTACTTGATTCTGTTTATTTCCATTTATTTGCTTAATTTATCTGATAGATCCTGAATTCCTTCTGTGTATTATCTTGAATTTCTTGAAGTTTTCTCAAAAAAACTGTTTGGAATTTTCTGTTTGAAAGGTGAAACATCTGTCTCTCTATTGGTCCCTGGTGCCTTAGGTGAAGTCATGTTTTCCTCGATACTCTGGATGTTTGTGGATGTTCATTGGTGTCTGGGCATTGAAGAGTGAGGCATTTAATATAGTCTTCATAGTCTGGATTTGTACGTGTCCTTCTTGGGAAGCCATTCCAGGTGTTTGAAGGGACTTGAGTATTTGCATCTATGTTTTTGGTTACTATAGCTATATCTGCATTAGAGGGTACCCCAAGCCCAATAATGCTATAGTTCTTGCAGATTCACAAAGGTACTGCCTTGGTGGTCTTAGATAAGATCTGGAAAAATTCTCTGGATTACCAGGCAGAGACTCTAGTTTTCTTCCCTTACTTTCTCTCAAACAAATGGAGTTTATCTCTCCATACTGAGCTGCCTGGAGCTAAGAGATGGTGACACAAGCACCCTTGTAGTCACCAATACTGGTACTGCACTGGGTCAGACCTGATGCTAGCACAGCACTGGGTTTTGCCCAAGGCTCACCATGACCACTACCTGGCTACCGCTTATGTTCACTCAAGGCTCTATAATCAGCAGGTGGGAAATCCAGCCAGGCTTGTGTTTTGCTCTTGAAAGTGCCAAGTTCCCCTTCTCCCAGATGAGTTCAGAAATTCTGTCTGGGAAACAGAACAAGGAGTCAGAAACCATATAAATCTACCTGGTGATCTATTTTACAGTGGCTGAGCTGGTAACCAAGCCACAAGACAAAGTCCTTCCTACTCTTCCCTTCCCTTTCCCAGGCAGAGGAGTCTCTCCCCACATCTGCCACCACTACAGGCCCATCGGGAGTACTGCCAGGGTACCACTTACATTCACTTAGAGCCCAAGCTCTCTTCAGTCAACTTGTGGTAAACTCTACGACATCTGGGACTCACTTTCAAGACAGTGTGCTCCTTTCTGGCTGAAAGTAGGTCCAGAAATTCTGTTCAAAAGTCAAGGGAAGAATCAGAGACTTCAAGGACTTGCTTGGTGCTCTTCCCCACTGTGGCAGAGCTGGTTACGTATGCTACAGGACAAAGTGCCCTTGACACTTCTCTCTACTTTTCTCAAGCAGAAGGGGCCTTTCACTGTAGCCATCACAGCTGGGACCATGCTGGGTCACACTTGAAGGCAGCATGAGTCAGTTTCATCCAAGGCCCGAAGTATGTCCTACCTGCTTACTGCTGCAGATTATTTAGTGTCAGCAGGTGATAAATTCTGCTAAGACTGGGTTCTTCCCTTTAAGGAAACAGATCCTCTGCTGGCCCAGGGTCTGTCTAGAAA